TTTTTTTTTTTTTATATATATATATATATATATATATATATATATATATATATATATATATATATATATTAGTGTTTTAAAATGAATTTATATTAATTTATTTTTATATTAAAAGTACTTAGTTTTATTTTATAGCAAACAAGCTTATTTTTGCATGAAAGGTGTGCTTTAAAAAAAAAAAAAGAATGCCACTTTAATATTTTGCAATAATAATTCAATGCATTTATGTATTGTTGAGTCAAAGGCCTTGAAACAGAGTGGCGTTAAAACGGGATAATATGATGCATTGCGACAAATACAAAATAGAACATTACATGGTATCAACACAGTTATCCAATCCAATAAACAGCCACATATGGTGGAATAAATACAAATGGCATTTGCTGTATTATAATGAGCAGGGGAGTGTGAAATTTATAGCCACAAAGCCTATTAGTCCAATGTATTAGAGGAAAGATAATCATATTAAGCAAGTGCTTAAGGCGGTCAGTTCTTTGTTTGTCGCCCGGGAATAAAAGCTGATTTTGAATGTGGTGGATTGTGTTAATAGGAGACAGAATCTCCTGCTAGAGCCAATTGGGGTGGACAGATTATGATCTAGGTGGATTGAATCTGGCAGTATGAGGGATTTGTACGTGACAATGGCTGGCAGAGAATTGTTCAATGTATGGGAAGGTCAGAGCATGCAATTTTTGCTGCTGTTGGAATTGACCCTGGAGTGGCCTTCCACTCGTACACTTTTGTATAGCAGTAACAGACAGTGATAGCACAGATAAAGATACTTTCTCTGGTGCCGTGATATAACCGCATGTTCGTTTGCTCATACTGCACGCAGTCTGCAAGGGATTCGCAGAACGGATGTGCATCTGTTGTCTTTATCAGAATGTTTCAGGTAAATTCATCTGAGACTTTTAGTGTTGAGCTTTCTAAAACATCCACCAGTTTCTCAGTGGTGTTTCGTGAGGGAATTTTCCACGAAGGCTGATATGTTAATCAGTATCAGGAACACTGATTAAAGATTGTAATGGGTCGACATAACAAAACATCAAAATACTGTATCAACATGTAGTCAAAATACACTTAAATTCTCTTAAAGTATTAAAATTAATTTAAAGATTACAATTTAACAAAACACTAACTTATATGTACAGTACAGTATGTACATATAGAAATGCATATATATATATATATATATATATATATATATATATATATATATATATATGTATGTGTGTATATATATGTATATTTATAGTATCAAGTTGTAGTCAACAAACAAACAAAATATACAAAAAACAATCTCTTAAAAAATACAAGTAAAAAATAAAATTTTATTTAAATTACTCAATGTAAAAAATGTGTAAATATACTCTGTACAGTATATATACACAAAACAGTTTAGTTATAATATGTCAGAATATGTAGTCAAAATAAACCTCATCTTTCTAAATTAAAATGTAATTTAAATATTAAAATTAAATAAAATAGTGTGTGTGTGTGTGTGTATGTATGTATGTATGTATATATTATATATATAGAATTAATTTTATTTTTACTATTTTTTTAGCACACTCTCACTGTCTTCTCTTACAAACCATTTCTGCAAATCCTGCTGTTGCTGTTCAGATTTCTGTTCATGTCTCTTAGAAGGTCTTTAGTCCCATCGACACTCGGGGCAATTTGTGGCAGTTTTGGCAGACAGTTCTGTTGATGTATTCAGCCAGTTGTTAAACTAGTTTCTTGCTATCATCAGTAAATGAAATGATCCTGATATTATGGCTTGTTGTCGTAAGTGAAATGTTGAGAACATCTTGTGGTTGATTTGTAGGTTTGTGTGCTAATGAAGTTATATTGGCCATTATCACGACTGGTGGTCTGCTTCTATCGCTTCTGTCAGGAAATCAGTGTGCATTGGCTTTTCAGTTGATTTCTGTACAAACGCTAATATAATTGTCACTTACAGCGATTCAGCAGCATGCAGGACAGGACGAGTTGCTTTCTGCCAGTCAATTGGCGTGATTTACAATCTGGATGATGTTTTAGGTGCTCTGGGGAAAGGGCAGTTAATGTGAAAGATCACCAGTCTTTTAAGAGTAAGTGCAAGTAATGATTTAAGACAGGATGCCTCGGCTTTTCTGATCTCCGTCGCTGTGGTGGCCATTTTGAAGCTGAGTGGTTTTAAAAAGGAGAGATGGAGATTAAACACGTCTGAAACAGGACTCAGCTGTTCTGAGCTCTGTGAATCCCGGAAGCCTTCTGCATTTTTAACCTCTCATGCCCATATTTTTCCCTCGCCAGATTGACTGATCTCATAACTAGTTCTAGGGCTACACTACTGGGCAATATATTTTGAATATTCACAATTTTAGAAAGGTAGTCCACCCAGTGATCTAGTGGTTTTTTGACGTCAGACAAAACTCTCTTTTTTTTTTGTAGTCAAGCAACAGCAGGACAATCAAATAACCATTCTTTCTCAAAATGAACTGAAGAGGAGATGATTTTTCTGCAGATACAACAGTGTTGCATATAGATGATAGGGTCCACATTTGGAAAACTGGGGCTTTGCTGACAGCTCCTTTTAGCTTGAAGCCATATAGAGAGGATGCTAATGGCCATTCTGCCCTGTGTAATGTCTCGCAGAACCTTATATCTAAGGCATTGCTCATTACGACATCCAGCTCTGCTTTCTGCCAACCCACTGACTGCACCTATAGATTTCCTGTTGTATCGCATTCAAGTTTCTCCATAACTTCCCCAAACCTTTGCTGTTAATAGTGGCCAGTAAATAAGGCATTTAGAGATCTACCTCATCCATTTTAGCCTCTTGTAAATGTAACACTATAAGCTGGCCAACCAACTTTACAGTGGCCACAGATATATCAAGTGTCTGATTGGAATGTGACACCTTGCAACATAACCACAGTCTTCTTTATTTGACTGAACTGAAGGAAAAATAACAGAGTAATGTCACCCCCATATCACATCTTACTGAAACATGACACTGGCCTAATTGTTTAAAATAACAATTATTTCTTCCATCAGAGATTTCTGTAGAGCCCCTGGAGAACCATAAAGTTCCCTCCACAGGCTCTGTGGGTAGACATATATAAAGCATATATGATATATGCTCTAATAGACTATTGTATATGTTCTATATAAGCAGCATAAAGTCTGTAAAAAAAAAAAGGTCATTCATTTTTTATTTAATGTTTTTGAAAGTTTTTAATGCTCACTAAGGCAAAATTTTATTTGATGAATAGAAATTTCTAAAGAATATAATTATTTAGAAATTTTTACAATGAAAAACTCTGTACTGTCACTTTTGGTCAATTTAATGTGCCCTTGATGAATAAAAGTGTTAATTATTTTGATAAAAAAGACTGACTCCACACTTTTGCACGGTAGTGCATATTTTAACATTTATTTCTACATATGTTGCATTTAACTTAATTTTTTTAATTTTTTCT